TCAGTCATATAATGGAGGTCTATGGTCACCACCTCAAAGAGCATGCACAGAGAAGTCCAGATTAAACATGATTTAATGACTCGTAAATGTAAGTACACATTGATGGCCTAAGACACGAAACGAGCGGTTTGAGTGAGAAAACGAACAGTATTTATATCGTTTTTACCTCTTGTAATCACAGCCACGTCCAAGTGATCTCTCGCACGTGGTTTCAGAAGTGTTACCCTTCACTGTAAGGATCTAAACATATTTAGATATACAGAAAACCACAATGGAAGACGATTTCGATATTTCAACAGACAACGTAGATCACTTCCGGCGCTTTCCGGCGCTTGCACAGACCGAAGCGCCCGACGTGGCTGTGATTACAAGAGGTAAAAACGATATAAATACTGTTCGTTTTCTCACACAAACCGCTCGTTTCGTGTCTTAGGCCATCAATGTGTACTTACATTTACGAGTCATTAAATCATGTTTAATCTGGACTTCTCTGTGCATGCTCTTAGAGGTGGTGACCATAGACCTCCACTATATGACTGACAGACAAGAACGGTTTGACCTAAAAATATCAAAATTGAAACTACTGCGGAAACAAAGACACCTACATCCTGGATGCCCTTGAGGTAAGATAAAACATACCAAAAATTAATTTCAAAGTGAACTATCCCTTTAAATAATAAGCAAAACCACTGTATAGTGAAAATGTCACCAGTCAACTTATGACTAGACAATATGAAGAGCACCTTTAATATGTTTTTAAGTGTTAGTGAACATATCATTTTTTCCCACGCTGCATTCCATCACACAATGTTCCTCAGCCCAGAATGATCTCGTTGTAGCAAAAGGTTGAAAGGGAAGATCTGAATGAAAGGCAAGGATATAATCATCTCTGGCTCTGCACATGTGAAGCAACCCATCTGAGGATTTACAGGCCGACATGTGAGGGCAAGTGCTTTTTAAACGCACTTCTCTAGGCGAGTGTGAAGACGTGCCGGACAACCTGACATGAGACTAAATAAAACAAAACACAAGCGTCCATTGTGTCCAAACACATCCTGGGACACGTAATGCATGTAAGGTGTGTAAACACATCATCACGGTGCTGTCAACGCTTTCAAGTGTTGCTGATGAATCCATTATTAAAGCAGTGGAGGGAAAGTACATCTCCTGAATGGCCCGCTAACATGCAGAAGCTTGAATCACGCAGTGCCACTGTACACACACACACACACACACACACAGCACGACAGGCAGGTGTCTGTGGCCCGAGGGCTTTGGGAGAGCTGCCAGATGATTTTGTTTAGAGAGACAATAAGACCGGTGAAGTTTCAGGTTTCGGAGGATGCAAACTAAGACAGCATCACGTCTGTGCAGCAGAAGCTGGGAGTTTTGCCCATTGTGTCCATGAAGAATAACTGTTAGCCAAACAATACGCTTATTATGAAGAATGAGTGTGTTTCCTGCTGCGCTCGCTCACAGGTGGCTCTTCTGAACGGGCATATTTGATGGCGCTTTTCTAATCGAATCCTTTGCGAAATGCAGGATAGATACTGTTCAAAAGTCTGGGGTCGGTAAGATTATTTACAGTGAAATATCATTAATAACTTAATATATAATGTATTGCTGTGATCAAAGCTGAATTTTCAGCATCATTACTCCAGTCTTCAGTGTCACATGATCCTTCAGAAATCACTTTAATAAATATCAATGTTGAAAACATGCCACTTTTGATGTATTTAATGCATTATTGCTGAATACATGTATTTAAAAAATAAAGAAACATCTCACCGACCCCAAACCTTTGAACGGTAGTGTATATATGGGTTTCATATTACTCACCATCATGTCGTTCCAAAATTCTTTCATTTTCAAGACCGTTCAAGACACTTTTCTTCTCAATACAACACAAATGAACAGGAAGTGATGTTGCTGACCTCCTAAAATGACAAAAAGCAGCATGAAAATAGTTCATTTAATAGCATTATGTGAGAAACAGACCCAATTTAAGTCATTATTTGCCAAAAGACTTTTCATAGATGTGATATCAGTAAGTGACCGTGATTAAAAGCACTAATGAACACATCGATTCGCATCGGGATGAACTCTGGCTCGGGTCTTCTTGTGAGCGTGCGAGTGGGCATGTAGATGTTTGTGGATGTGGTCATGATTAAGCATGTCCAATGAGTGAGCTTTACAAAAAAAAAATGACCGTGGTAACCATAGCAACCGCCAAAACATCATAGTTACTAGAGTTATTGTTTTATTGTAAAACCACAAATTCATTTTGGAATCTCCTTTAAACCACACAAGAAACTTTATTTTGAACTAAATTGTTTTTATTATTTTTGTCATTGTAATAAAAAAAAAAGTATATTGGATAATTACCATACCATAAAAACTTGAATTTCTGATATTGTGATGCTTTGCTGGAGCCTCCAAATGTATATAGTGTAATACAAATACAGTGTATTCTGCATTTAAAATGAAAAAATAACACAAGTAATGCATTTTTCATGTGGGTGTAAATCTATACCGCACATCCAGATGCCGTACAGTGAGGTGAAGGAAGAGATGGAGCAAAATGAATCAACGCTGCCCTCTGTTGAGTAAAGAACACAATACACTGATCATGAAGAGTTCACTAAAACAACCAAACTGACTCTTCTGTATTATGAAATGTAGTCAAAATAATAAACAATTATTAGGTTGTATTTATCTATTCAAAAGTTGAATTGCACCTGAATGTGTCTGAATGTCAGATACAAATTATGCATGACCTACATGAATAAATAATTCTTTATAATACTGTATGCTCATTATGAATGTGTTGACCTTCAGACATTGAATGGATGGATGGATGGAGAGATGGATTGAGGGGTGCATGGATGGATGGATAGATGGATGGATAGATGGAGGAATGCATGGATGGAGGGAGGGATGCATGTATGGATGGATATATGGAGGAATGCATGGATGGATGGAGAAATGGATGGATGGATGGAGGAATGCAGGGATGGAGGAATGCATGGATGGATGGAGGGATGCATGGATTGATATATGGAGGGATGCATGGATGGATGGATGGATGGAGGGATGGATGCATGCATGGATGGATGGATGGATGGAGAAATGCATGGATGGATGGAGGGTTGCATGCATGGATGGAGGGATGCATGCATGGATGGATGGATGGATGGATGGAGAAATGCATGGATGGAGGGTTGCATGGATGGAGGAAGGAATGCATGGATGGAGGAATGCATGGATGGAGGGAAGAATGCATGGATGGATGGAGGGATGCATGGATTGATATATGGAGGGTTGCATGGATGGATGGAGGGATGCATGGATGGATGGAGGGAGGAATGCATGGATGGATGGAGGGAGGGAGGAATGCATGGAGGGAGGGAGGAATGCATGGATGGAGGGAAGGATGCATGGATGGAGGAATGCATGGATGGAGGGTTGCATGGATGGATGGAGGGATGCATGCAAGGATGGATGGATGGATGGATGGAGAAATGCATGGATGGATGGAGGAATGCATGGATGGAGGGAAGAATGCATGGATGGAGGAATGCATGGATGGATGGAGGGATGCATGGATTGATATATGGAGGGATGCATGGATGGATGGATGGATGGAGGGATGGATGGAGAAATGCATGGATGGATGGAGGGTTGCATGGATGGATGGAGGGTTGCATGGATGGATGGAGGGAGGGAGGAATGCATGGATGGAGGGAAGGATGCATGGATGGAGGAATGCATGGATGGATGAAGGGATGCATGGATGGATGGGCAGATGGAGGAATGCATGGATGGATGGAGGAATGCATGGATGGAGGGAAGAATGCATGGATGGAGGAATGCATGGATGGATGGAGGGATGCATGGATTGATATATGGAGGGATGCATGGATGGATGGATGGATGGATGGAGGGATGGATGGAGAAATGCATGGATGGATGGAGGGTTGCATGGATGGATGGAGGGTTGCATGGATGGATGGAGGGAGGGAGGAATGCATGGATGGAGGGAAGGATGCATGGATGGAGGAATGCATGGATGGATGAAGGGATGCATGGATGGATGGGCAGATGGAGGAATGCATGGATGGATGGAGGGAGCGATGGATGCATGGAGGGAGGCATAGGTGGAGGGATGGAGAGAGTGATGAAGGGATGGATGGACGGATGAAGGGAGAGGGAGAAGGGAGAGAGGGAGGAAGAGAAGAGGGATGGATAGATGGATGAAGGGAGGAGGGATGGATGGTGTGTTTGATGTATATTGATTTCAATAAGCATCAACCTGCACAATCACTATGTTGACATTTTTGCAATGTAAGTGAATTTAAATGTCATTTATAAGTTGCTTAAAACCAACATGATTGGCAATGCAAGTTATCCAAAGAAAAAACAAAAATCTTTCAATTCAAAGTCAAACCTTGAATACATGTTCAAAATGTTATAGCACAGTGTAAATATTGCATCTGTCGACTTAAAATGTCGGTGATAACATGAAAATCAATATAACTATACTGTACATAACATTTAAAGGAGAAATCTGATTCTTAACTCTTATTAAAGTCACAACTGCACACTTAATAAGTGCAGGATAAATAAAAGCTTTACTAGAATTCCCCACCGTGGAAGAGTGAACCCTCCTTCACAGGAGCCGTTTGTCAAGTGTTATCAAGGAGACTGTCAGATAAATATGCAGGAGGAGAGAGTGTGTGCGGGGTGAGCATGGTGCCGAGACGTCCCTCAAACACACACGACTCATGATCACGTCCAGCGTCCTAAACAACTGAGTTACATTCGTACCTGAGGATACACTCATTGTGTCATGTGTTAAACAGCACACCTAACACACGTGGAGCGAGATGGCCGTCTCTCGCTCAGATGTGAGAAACCTCGTCAGATATCAGCAGTTCAGCGGTTAACCAACTCCCACTCGACAACATCTGCATTCCTGAACCCGGCCAGAGAAACACACACTCAAACCTCCACGCCGTTTCCAACGCTTCATCATGCAAATCCTGAGACGG